TTCCCTACCCATCCATCAACCCAGATTCCCAATGTCAAGCCCTGAAACGGCCTATCGAAATGACTAGTTAAAATATCAGGCATGTATACATCCCCTGCCTGAACTTTAGAGTACATTGTTGTACTGTTCTTTAAAAGATAGACTAGTATCCCAAGAGAACTTGTGATCTGACCTGAAAAGCAGTTAATGATCCTAGATTGTACATTTACAATATCTCATAACCTGAAGACCAGATTTAATTAAGACTCTGGTGTTGTAACAGAAAAAGTGCTGCAGTTATTTATCCCTTTTCTGGTACTTTAGAATAGGTCAGACAAGTGCTTTTATAGTGACAGTAAAGTTTACATGCTTCCATGCAAGCATAAAAAATATCTGCAAAAATATCTGAGAAACGTAGCACCAAGTTGTAGATAAACTGAATTAGTAGCTGTAGTAGTGTCTTCATTATTTCTGAGTGGGAGAAAACTTTAAATTACACTGTATTGGCTAACGATTACAGAAATTGTTTTCTGACATTAACTTTTCCTGCTCCAGACAGAATGAAGTCTGTGTCCTAATCCCTGCTCCATCAGGTAGACTATCTGCAGAATTACCATTTTGAGTCTTTCAAAATTCTACTTACCAATTCTGTAGAGACAAGCATGTTTTTGTTTGTTTTTAAGAAGGTGAATGAATACTCTGGAGAGGTTGGAAAAAATCCCTCCTCCCAGTACTTAACCCAGGAAAACAGATTTTTGCAGTTGGAATAACAGATATTTCATGAGGATTAAATAAAGCTATCTTAACATAAGGTTTTCATAATTACACCTGAATGTAGGCATAATTTGATAGGACCTGAAGTCCAAAACTGCTGCTGTAACAGCGGTAGACAGACTTGGCCCCTGTCAAACCCAAGAACAGGGGGGAGAGAGAGAGAGATGGACACTGGAATGCTGTAACTACTTACAGATTTTTCTGGTATACGTGGAGTGCATCTATGGATCATTTTGAGTCTACAATATCTCTCTGCTTAGTGAGCATCACGGTACATCCTATTTATATATTGGCTAATAAGAAAAAATAACTATAATGATTATTGTTTTGGTACATTCAATAGAACTGCAAATAGCTTGTAGTACAGATTTGTTAGGTTTCTGCAGGTTCTAATTAGTGAGTTTTCAGTATAACTCAAGAGCAAGTGGAAACCTCAATAGTACCAAAACTAGCCTCAAACCAGAATTCTATAGGCATAGCTTTTAATACCAATATTAATCAACACTATCTACTGGGGCTGAGAAAAAGCAAGATTTAGCTAGATTGAGATTACATTTAATTTCTGACACATTTTGTGAAGAAAAATAGCAAGTTTCTGATCCCCATGAAAATGTAGGAAACAACCCTTCCCATTCTACCTCTAACTTCTAGCAGGGAAGATAAAAAATAGTGTGAAAAAGCTTTCAGTACAAGTTAATAAATTTGCCTTCATAAGAGTTTGGACTTGCAACAGGTGTATGCATCCTCACACTGAAGAGTTAAAATTCTGTCTTCACTGAAGAAAGAGCTCTTTACAGATGTAGCCACACTGTTTTTGAGAAACAAGGGAACTGCTCAGTGTTCCCTTCACGCCTTGGACACCGTGTTCTTCTCCTAAGGCTCAAGGACAGCTCAAGAGAATTAATCCAAACTACACTGAAAAGAAATATACAATAATTCTAGTTTTGCCTGTATAACAATTGTTGCAGTTGATATAAAAAGCAATTCAATCAGAACTTAAATGTTGTTCCAACCTATACAAAGCTTACTCAACCCTAAGGCCCCTGAATCATTTTGCCAGTTCCTGTGAATTTCTAGGGGAAGGCAATGTACTCTTCAGGGTTCTCACGAAGGAAATATTTAGACTCAAACGTCCGCCTGCCACAAGACAAAGCACAGATATTCTTTGTCTGCTCCTAACCGGTCTAAACGCAGGCGCAGTTGCCTCTCGTGCTTAGGAATATCCTTGAGCACTGGAAAGCTCAAAAAAAAAGGTGGTATAGAAATTGCTTGACAACACAGAGGCTGAATGTGTTCCCTTACCAGAGGCACCATCCTTATAAGCATGCATTTGTTAAAAAGTCATTTGCTTTCTGATTGTAATGAAAATTCAGGGTTCGACTTCAGGTCTAGCAACAGGGTTGGTAATACAAGCATCAAAATATGAGTTCTGCAACAAGGAGAACGCAAGAGCATATCTGTATTGCTCGTTCAGCAATTTCTGCATTATAAGAAGAAATAAGACATTTTAAAGGAAACTGTGACTTGAGCCTTTAAAAAAAATTAGAGAACGACCAAGAATCTTTTGACAGAAATAAAATGAATTCATGTCTCTAAAATATCTATTGGAAATGTTCAACTCTTTATAGCTCAAGCGTTACGGCCACGATAATGCCTACACCACTGTGTAATGAGGATCCAACTGGCTGAAAGTGAGGTAATAGTTTGTAATAGGTCAGAGTTCTAAAAAAAGCACTTTTACACCTTACAAGTCCAAATGAAAAGAAAAAAGGACACATTTCATACATGTTGGGCTTTCTCACCAGAACTGTACGATAATTAACTCCACACCAGGACCCCTACCACACTAAGCCTTACTCATCTTCAATTATATGCTGCAGCAAAGATTTACCAAGCGACATCTAAACTTCAGTACAATATGAAACTTGATTCTTAAAACTTTATACACACAAAATATAAAATTACTTTTCTAGGATGGGGGTTGGGGAATGGGATTCTCCTTCATGATACTTGGACTGAAAAACTAGTTTTCAGAGACTGCCACAAATATTATTCACAGTTTCTTGCTGTCAGGCTTTTTCAGCTACATCAACGTAGTACACAACAATACTGTTAAGTCCAATAACTACATTGGATGGACATTCTCAGGAATGAGAGAAAACTAGTGACGAAAAATACCCAAAAGGCCTCCTCCTAAAGATGTCTTGATTTTTACAGGGTAGCAGTTTGTCTACGTTACACGTTAATGCGATCTCAAAATAGCAGCAGGAGAAAAACTCTAAACCTTATCTCCTGTCCAAGTGATCCAAGTAACATAAGCATCCACTTACCAGAATTAACATGAGAAACAAGGCTTTTGTTACAAAGACAGCAGCGAACCACACCTTCCCACACCAAAATATGGTCAACCAGGGATTTTGGCCATGCAAACTGCTGGTCAGCAGAAAATTAAGCATGCTAATGGACAAACATTAATTCCAATCATATATTTTAAATGATCTCAAATACTACTAGTTAGCTACACTGAAAGCGCCTGTAAAAAATGTAGTGAAAGATGAAACAAAACATCAGTGATCACTGCAGCACTAGAGTGATACTAGTCTTACGTGATGAATCACCTCAGAGAAAATACATTAGATGGGACTTTGAAACAAAAAGTTAACATTAAAAGGTGCACCTGAATATTACAGACTAAATTTACAAAACCTACAATAAGGTAAAATATATATCTTTTGAATATTCAGCAGCTTTTTTTAAATTTGTTTTTATTTTTTGAGAGGCTCATGAAATTTTAAAAAGGGACCACTAACTAATCTCAACCATGCTTCACAAAACAATAATGGCTATTTTATATTGCAGTTACCAACGTAATGCAATTAGTGCTTAAAAAATAATCTACTTTTTTTATTTTTTTTCCTTTTTAAACAGAGACCTTTGGAGGAAATATGGTTGTTCAAAAGCTTCTCGAAAAAGAAAGATTACCTGAATATTAAGTTATCACAGATCAAGTGTTGTGTTTAAAAGCTTTGCAGACATGAATATTACAATCTTCAGGTCTCAGGACATTTAAACTGAGAAAGTTACACGTTTGGTTTGTTGTTGTTTTTTTTTTTTAAATCCACTTTCTAACCAAAGCAAATAAAGAATACTCAACTTCTTGCTATCTATTTACAATTCTTAGCCTACAGTCTGAAATGACAAGACAAATTCTCTTTTAAAACTGCAGCATTAAAGGGTAGGCACACCATTCTTCTGCTGCACGATTGTCACCCACTTAAACATACACATACAAAATATTTAGGTTAGTAAAATGAGCACTTCACTTACACTACTGTGACAAGTTTTATAAAACTCATGTTGTTTAAATAAAGACAACTGCAAAAGGTTAAACCTCTCTGAACAGTAAAACTGTGTTGCATTTTTTTTTTTTTTTAAAACTTGCAGCAAACTTTCCAGCATAACCTCCAACAGCAGATGAAACCGCATGTTTAACTGCACCTTTATTGCAATCACCAGCTAAACTGGAATGTATTGCAGAGTTTATATACTGCTACTGAGCTTTAACTGCTTTACATGCTGAGATGACAACTAGATAGCTACGAGGAATCAGGATTTTGAGTGCTAAAAATATATTAAGTAAACAAAACAAAAAAAGTATAGTTGGGGCCAGAAGCCCAATCCTTTTCAAGAATGAGCAGTGCATATTTAAAATGACAGCAATGGTGTGCCTAACCTTTGAAAATATTAAGTTGCTGGGGAGGGGGAGAGGCTAATAGAGTCAACTCTTCCAGAATCCATTCAGCATCCCTAGGGCTATCTAGGCCATCCTCCCATGAACTTTTAGAAACCACTTTCAGTCACTGACATCACTTAATGCCACTTTCAGTCACTGACATCACTTAATGCTCTCACACAAAAATTTCAATGCTTCTTTTGGTTGTGCAACTGGGAAAAGTGATAATTCTATATACTTTTTGCACAGATTAAGACCAAATTACTTCTACCTGAAGAACTAGCAATTCTGATTTGGTCAAACTGTAGTAAATCCAGTAAGCTCTACCTAGTTACTGACCACTCCCGCAGAAAGTATCAAAGATAAAAGTTCTGTACAAAATTTATCCTGGATCTCTATATAATGACAAAGATATCACCATAGTGGAAAAAGACCGGATCTGTGGTTTACGGAGTGCTTTTATGGTGTTCAAATGCTTACTCTAGCATGTGCTAAACCACTATCAAAATAGGTTAAATAAAAACAAAAAAAATGCAGGATTGAGATTATTTCCTGCTACTGGCAACTGTAGTATTTAAAAAGGAAACACCCATTCACTGGGTGTTCAACCCTGACAGTATTACAGCTAGATATGATGCAGAGCCTGAATTAAATCAGGCTACCAGTGTTTTACTTCTTCCCTGAACATTAACAAGCTCCTTCACTAACGTGGATATTTGGGCAGACTACTGAGGTTGTAACGTTTGAGTTCACTGTTTTACTTTTGTTTTTTTTTTTGTGGGTTTTTTTTTTTTTGCAAGATCACAGTAGTTTGTTACGCATACCCCCCTTCCCCAGATTAGAGTCATTTAAACTAGTTGTTGGAACCCCGTAGTTTAGTAAACTCAGAATCAAGTCTGTAAAAAGCATATAGGTCACAAAGAACCACAGTTCTGTTAAAATGAGGCATACCCTAATACATCATTTAGTGTACCCTGACTGCTCCTGACCATGAGAAGCTTGTCTTCCGTGAGATAAGGCTACATCCTCAAGCAGGTGAGTCTAAATATCACCTTTCAAAAGTATCAAACAAAATTACAGCGAAGGTAGTGTTACAAAGTAATTAACTGAAGTATTCTGAAGGTAGTGTATGTAAGTTTTCCCTCCCCTCCCCTCCGGGTGAGCACTAAGCAGACGGTGAATAGTAAGTACATTTAATTTAGGAAATAAAATAGCGGAGAGCCTAATTAGACCCAACTGATTATCCATCTAACATACAAATCTCCGAGTTCAAGAGAGGTACCATTCCTAAATGACTTGATTTAGCTTAAATCTTTCATCAACTGGATCAAAGAAAAGAAGGAAGGAAAAAAACAAAAAAAAACAAACAAAAAAAGACTTCTGAAACATTTTGCAGAATGACAGTCTGATTCTCATTCAGAAAAGCCTGGTTTTAAGAGAGAATCAGTTTCACAAAGTGGACTTTTTTCTATAAAGGCAAATAGGAAAAAAATCCAACAACAGAAGTTCAGGCAGGCTCTACAGGCAAGGTGTCCACTTCCACAGATCTGCATTCTTTGTGAGGTAACTCAACTCTCTATTACAGAGAAACATGCAAAAGGCAAAAGAAAAAAAGAAAAAAAAAGGGGGGGGGGGAGAGAGGGTGAGCAGACAGGTGAAGGAGGGGGAACTGCGCCATCCCAGGCTAGAAAAATTTTACAAGTGTGACATTCAGAGCACACCTTTCACCTGCGTCCACCCAAGTCTATGTCAAACTGCAAAGGAAAGAGCATTGCAGTAAATAGAGGAATCAGGTGTGCTCAACGGTGGTTGAACTATGCAGTAGTGCTCACCCAGTTTGCAAAGTAATTGGCACTCCACACATCCCTACTCATCTTTCAATTCATTTGCACTTTGTGCTGCTTCTCCCTGGGGATCTAATTCAATCTTTACTGAAACATCCTGCCCCTCCGACCTCAATAATTTCATTTTTTTCTTTGGAGGGTTTTTCAAAGTGCCCAGCCTCTCTTTAACTTTGTACTCCAGTGTACTGTGGGGGATCCCATAAATACTCTGAGCTTTGGAAACACTCATTTTCCCGCTCATAACCACAGAGATTGCTTCCTCCAGTATCTCGCTGTTGTACTGTCTGTATCTCCCTCTTTTCTTCCTAGGTTGCTTGGAGCCAGGATCTCCCTCTTGATCTGAGGTGGGATATGGCTGTCCAGAGGTAGACTGCTCAGCATCTGAGCCCCAGGAATCTGGTCCAGCATCCAGCAAGCTTCTCCTGTTTTGTTTTGGAAGGATAGCCCTTAACTTTTTGCTAAGCGCGCTCTCCGTTTGTGAACCCATTACCAAAGAACTATAGCTGTACTGGTCACCAGTGCGGGACTCCCATGAAAGGTCCATGCCTCGAACTTGTGGTATCTTTAAATCCACAGGAGACGAATGGCTCACGTCCTTTTTCCCATCCTGTTTAGTTTGAAGTGCCATTTTTTGAAAGGCAGAGTTTTCTGTAAGAAAAGGAAGGTCACTGATGTTGCTGAGTGCACCGTTTCCCCTGAATTTCATGCGGCTGAAATTGAATTCGTAGTGTGGTTTTGCCCAAGAAGCCTCCCTGGATAATATTAAGTGCTGTCCATGATTCTGTAGTCCAGACGGCCCATGGCTGGCAGCCGTAGAAAACTGGTTTCTGCTCAGCAGTTCTTCACTAATCTGGAGTGATCGAGCCAGCGGAACTTTAAGAGATGTGGAGTGGCCATAACCTTCCCTGGTTCCATCCTGCAAGCTTCTCGGAGGTCCCCCATCACCACTCTGTAGTCCCTCCGGATGGTGCTGGCTGGGTCTCCCAGGTCGCCTAATTGGATGGAAGGAAACTGATGTGAGCAGGACTTGCACAGGTAGGAAGGGATGGGTGAGGGGGCCACTCCTTTATTAGAAGGCCTTGCTTGGGTAACATCACTTTTTGTGTTATTTATTTTTCTCTATTTTTTATTTATTTATTTTTATTTATTTAAGTCTCAGCATCAGTCAGTTTTAAAACTTGTTTGCAAAAAAAAAAAAAAAAAGAGAAGCTTTTTCCGCAAAGAAAAAATGAAACCTGTTGGCTGGTCTCTGGTTGGGTTCACAAATTCTCGGAGTAGAAAAGACTTCGCGCAAGCGTCTGAAAATAGCACCTTAATTACAAAGTAATAGGCAATCTCCATAGATCTATACGCAACTGTGTTACTGGTGTGACGTTACCACTAAACAAGAACAGTAATAAAAGAGTAAGCCAAAATGCAACATATTCAACATGCAAATATGACTGCCACCTGCAGTATCTACACATAGGTGGAAACCTCGGACTATATTTGTTTATATCGTATTGAAGAATTGCTGCTCAAAATTAAAATGCTTAGTAGGCCTCAAAGACACTTGTTTGACTTTCATTAAGCAATCAAACATGAAAGCTGGAATAGTGCAGATCCCAAAGACAGACAGACACTGCATTACACTAGACTTACCAAATTGCTCTCTCAACAACTAGTTACGTATGTACATGTCCCTGACTCTCATTTGACACATGGCATGGCTAGAACAACCCTTCCCCAACTCCACCCAGTTCAAACTGTAAACTTTAGCCCAAATACAGGGTTAATAGCAGAAAAAGTAGTGTGTACTTTTATCATTTTCCTTTCATCTTACATGTGCTTTCTATGACACAAAATACTACTACTGCAGATAAACAGGTGTATTTTAATATTTTGCTTGTGTAGGCCTTTCTAATAAATGAGTCACACTGGCCAGCAAACTACATAGTTTCAAATACCACTCCCAAACTTTTCCATATTCAGGATGGAAATTAATGAAGAGACTAGAAAGCAATTATATTTTGATGCCTTGGTACACTATACTGGTCTGAAGCCATCTAGATCAGCCAGCCTTGTTTAAGGCTAGGATAAACACTATTGAAAAGCTACATTATTCTTTTGAATGTCACATTTAGGTTGACAAAAACCTTTAGAGTAAAAACATATCCACTCAAAGGACCTGACATGTACCATACACAGTGCTTACTATATATGCCGGTAACGCCCGTTCGGGATTTGAGAGGTCTTAGTTGAAGTGGGTAACAATAGTCAATATGGATTCAGAACAAAATCCAAGAGAAATGAGTAAGAGGTAGCGTTTTCAGGTAACCCTCTCAAACAACGTGCATTCTCTGCCACTTCTACAGCATGTACTAGCATTAGAGTGTGCACCAGCGTTCCTGCACTTAAATAAAGGTCACATTGGCAGCTAACTAGAGATGGAAGCCAGCCACCCTTATTGACCACACACCTGCACAGGTAACTACAGGTGCCAGTACACAACATCCTTTCTTGATCCACAGAACTAATCAAGACAGTGCCAGTTGCTGGCCCCGTCCTCCCCATGCGTTGGACTTTGGCCCTCACTTGATACGCAAACAAAGTACAAAGACTACAGTCTTGGTGGCTTCTACTGTCTCTATAAGAAAGTAAAGCTGGAAATAACCTTTTCTGAATAGAAAGAGAAGAGCTGGCAGGGAAGGTTTAAGCTAAATAATTTTTTTTAAAGTACTAAGACCGAACATTAAGTAAGGACTGAAGTATTTTAATAGAAATATTAAGAGGGAAAAGGTAATCTTGAAGAGGAAGGGTGAGATACTAGTATTTTTCCAAAAACAGCTTAAAAAGTTAAATCAGTTGTTAGCAGTACGAGGGGGAGGCGCCTGGGATGGCATTAGCTTAAAAAAAGTTTTCAGAGGCTATCATTAGGCTAGATCCAGCAATTAAATGGTAGTTTAATGCATGTACTCTTTCTGTACTTTACTAAGAAGATTATTTGTTCATAGTACCTTCAAACTAAAATCCTTTCATCAACACCCAAAATCCCTCTTACTCCCAGCCAGCCTCTCCAGTACAATTACCTCAGTTCTAGCTGAGTCAAGGGTCGCTAAGCATATGTATGCTAAGACCATTAGAAACAGGAAACCTAGAAGTAATTTTTTTGGTAGAACATTCTTTCACACCTTGAACTAATTAAGGCAAGAATAGTACACCACATATTTTACAGTCTTTTAAACTTCTTCAGTGCTACAATACAATCATAAATCCAAGAAGCTGTATTTAAAGTTTTCTGAACTACCAGACTTCCCCTCCCTCCCCCCCGCCCTTTTTTTTTTTTTTTTTAATTTATGGTTTCTGTTAGGAAATATTAACAAAGATCATGCAGTGATTTAAGTCTAATTCAGTTCAGTTCATCACCCAAATCATTGCTATCCCTAAAATAAAAATCTTTTTTGTTAGATAACCTTCCCCTAAAGAAGGGAATCTATATTATACTGCCAAGATCTTCATAGGCTTAACTGTCTGAGCTCCCATCTCCACAGACATCACTTATCACTGAATCCAAGAAGCAGATAATAGAAAGATCCTTGGCTAAATACTAAACTGGCCAGAATGAACAGATATTAGACTTCTTAACTGCAAGTTAAGCCTGTCTCCGCTTGCAACAACTCTTATTTGGTAGGTGGGATGAAGGTATTTGCCAAAGGTCCAAGTTGAAATACACATTACTCCAAAGGGTTAAAACCAAAGATCAGTTAATTTTAACAGGAGGTAGACAGCACAAGTTTTTAGTAAAAAACTATCTTAAAAGGTCATAGTAAGTTGCTCGCTCTTACCCATTCCCTGGAGTACTGGAGCACCCTGGAGAATGACTTAGAGAGGTGCTGCCGGCACAAGGACTCTTCTTAGTGGATAAATCAAGCACTCCGTCTGTAGAGACAAAAGAATGACTTGGCACATGAAGAAACAAGATCAGCCATGTTCTCCCCTGATAAAACAAATCCTTTGGGATAAAATATATTCAGCACATGGATTTTCTTTAAAAAAAAAAAGAAATAAAAAACCTCGAGGTTTGGATTTATTCACAATTTGCTTACAAGAGGCTTCAACATAGTCCTCAAAAGTTTCAACAAAATTTGGCAAAGTTAAAAGAACATCTCTGTTACAAGAGCCAGAGCGTTCAAGTGATGGTTCAGGATACAACACAGGCTATAGCATAACTATAGTCCCAAAATGAGACACTTTCCAAATTCCTGAGATGTTGGGAGGTTTTAAGCCAGTATTTGAAAAATTCTTGATCCAAATCCATGGAAGAAAGATCATGTTAGAATTTCATACTGGAAATTTGCTTTCAGGTGAAAGCACACACGCACACACACAGAGTCAGGCATCATACCTGGCAGCTAGCTTCATCCTTCTCTCCATGTCTCTGCTAGGCTCTTCCTGGCAAAGCTGTTACCTTTCCCCTCTCCACCCTGTCACTTCGACTCCCTCTCGCCTTCCAAATACTAAAGGTCTTTCTTGCTGCTCTGCTTCTTCCATTCTCCTCTGGACAGACACTAAGGGCACTTCCTCACATTGACCCCAACTCCTCTGCAACCCCTTATGCAAACTATGCGTTTCTAGACAACAGAAAAGGGAGAGCTTTTTGCTAGGAATGCCTTGCTTCCATCTCACTGAAACAACTTGCAATTCTGGTCATTTTAATAAGGGCGTCATTGCCATAGAAGCAGCACAGCCATCTGAAATTCCTGGAAACTTTGAAACAAGGAATTTGTGAGGCAAAGGTAAATGAAACTTGTTGGCAAGTTAAACTACAGACATTTCAGAGCTACTTGCTCATTCCATTTAACTCACATAAGCGACACCAAATGCATGAACAATGTAAGATGGCTTTCAGATTGCTTCAAGTTCTCATTTGACATATGGATAAAAAAACCAGATGATTGACACAGTGAGCTAGAACTAACCTCTTATGGAAAGCTGTTCCAGCTACTGCATTTGGAAACATACCATAACCCAAACTTAAGCAAGAAGAGACTTCGTGCTTCCTCTTGAACAGAGTGCTATCCAGGTACAAGATACAGTAACTCATTCAAGTAGCTCCTCCTTTTCCAGAGGATATACTAAATAGCACCGACTGCTTCTAAAGAAGCTTCATCCAGGCTTCCTCCCCTAGAAGGGTCCTTATGACCCAGGAGTTTTTGAATACAGGCTGGACCCAGTCTCATGCCCCACGGAGAAGTTCACCAACAGCCTTGTTTCCTCTCAATCCTCTAGAGCAGAAATACAACAGAAAGCACCACTAGACAGCCTCTTAAATCGCTTGTTAAGTCTGGCAAAATCCTCACCTAGTTACATTAAAATAAATTGAAAAAAATTACATCAGCTAATGGATTACTGTATAAGTTAATATGAACATGCTCTAATTCCATAGCAAGTGTTACTAACATTACAAATTATCTTAAAGCGTCCTCATAAGGTTGGTAGCTAAAGAACAATTCACCCGCATTCTAAACATCTACAAATACATATAATGCTTTCTTTCTCAGCATTCAATTCTCTAATTAAAAAAAGCAGAAGCAAAACTGAGTCTCTCTGCCTCTTTTTCAGGGAAAAACTTCATAAATGTTAAACTGCTTTGATCATTGTAAATACATATGTAAAAGACACTAGTTAGTTAAATTTATTATAAAATTAGCTACAATGAAAAGTCTAACAGCTAAATAAATATATAAATCTTCATTTAAAGAAAAAAGTCATACCATACAACTGTCCTTGCAATACTTTAACTGAAGCGATGAAACAATTTGCAATAAGTGATATCAATGGTAACTTTCCACATGTCCAAGCTGTATGTTCTTGGACACACAAAATTAACCTTCTTACAAAAGACTCCATAAACGTAAGTGTAACAACAAAGAATAAAGAGATACCTGCAATACTATATTAGCTAGCACATGGCTTTTCTTCTCTTTTTTTTTTTTTAAAAGCACCTTTTCCACTTGAGGTGGAACAGCCTACCTTGTATTTGATAGAACGATTTCAGGCACTTAGTAATACATTTCTAAAGAAGGGTAAAAGGGCTAATTTAAACCCCATCAGTAGGGTACTCTGACGATAACCTCTATTCCACAGTTTCAGAAAAAGAAACATTCACATACCACAATCACTTGCAGAATTTGCTTGTTAAAAAACATTGTTGATAGAAAGCAAGGTTTCCCATTTAAAACAAGCCCTGCAACACTGTTACAAGTTATTCATCTGTGCTCTGCAGAACAAGTCTATTTTTAAGGTAGAAAGAAGACATTTCTTGTAAATGCATAAACAGGGAAGCTATTGTACAATTCATGGGTATCATTTTTACAGCCTCCACCAGGCTGTCACAGAAATAGTATTTTAAAGAGATCTGCTTTCACACTATGACCAGAAAGAAAATAAATCAATCAGTCCTTCAGTCAGATTATATATTGATCTCTAGAACAACAGATAACATTATAATTTTCATGACCACGTGACCTTGCCTTATCAGCAAGGGTACAGTCTATTTTGCAGACTATTTCTTGCAGCTCCCAGTAGCAACAGCACACTTGTCTCCAGAGTTTGGCACATGTCCATCCCTTTTGCCCTTCTTCAGAAAAGCACTCATGTCTATGAGCCTATATTCTTCCAACAAGTCTCTACTCTACCAGTTATATCGAACTAGTCACTATTTTCCTGTAATGACATCTATCACTTTTCCACTTTACGTTTGAGGTAAAAGTGCGCACTCTGAATTGTCTGTCTTTGCAACAAGAATGCCACTAATGGATCGCAATAGGATGCAAGACACTTATCAGTCCTACCTTGTTCACTAGGTTCTGACTGAGACTTTCTGACAGTAAGGTCCAGAGGTGAGTCTTGGTCAGCCATGAGAAGTTTGCTGAGCACAGGGTTCTGAGCAGTTGCAGCCGTGGGAGAGGAGGCGACCAGAGATGCTTTCAGCAGGCTTTGGTTCTTTGTGCTATTGGGCTGGCTGGAGTCCTGAGTAGAGCTATTTTTTGAGGTATATTCAGCAGCAAACTGTCGGATCATTCGCTGCATGATCTCACGGGCCACTAGGGGAATATTGGGGTCAGAGACCCTAGGACTGTCTGCAAACATTAGAGATTTTTTTTTAAGGATCCACTTAAATAAAACAGCTTTTATATTAAAAATAAATAAATAAGTAAACAAACCAATGTTTATTAAAAAAAAATCCAGGAAAAAAAAGCCAGAGATAAAATAGTTTCTATAGAAGATGTACTTTAGCCTTAGGATACCTGAACAAGAAGCATTACTAATTCTAATATAACCTCCCCAAAATAAGAGTTTCCTATGCGAAATAGGCAGTCTCATACTTTGCTTTCAAATATATCCAACCAGACCTTTTTAAGGGGTGGAAACATAAAGGAGAGCTAGACCCACGAAGAAGAGTACCAAGCAAAGAAATTCATTACAAAAAGTAGAACAGGTTATTCATGGAAGAACCGAGTAACTTAAAAAAAAAGAGCAGTGGGGGGGGGGGGGTGAGAAACAGTTGTAGTAAGGCCCTACAAAATTACCTGTAAATCAAGCTCTATAGTTCTGATCCACACACTTCAAGATAATTTACCTTAAAGATAAGAAGTTCAAGCATCTTCCATCCCATTCTATCTATTCCTTTTGTCATTTCTATCATTATAATCAATGCAGCATCAAATACTACCCAAAGAACTTTCAGATATGAGAGAGAGAGAGAGAGAGAGAGAGAGAGAGAGAGAGATCAGATTAAAAGTAATTCTATTTCTAAAACAGCTACTAAACCTATTAGTAAGAAATGTGAAATGGAAGCTGCTTATTTATAATAAACAGTGTATAAATACAAAGGTATATGAGGATATAGGCAACAAAAAATATATTAATTCAAATCACTATTTTACACAAGTAGTGATTCATGATGTTACAGCAAATCTGTAGCTCCTGAACCACAGGAGCTAAGTCCTGCCACTCCAACTCAAACACTGCTTGTGTTCTCTGGCCAAATCGGGTAACAAATCAAAAATGCTCCAGAAACAGCTGTAAAGGTTCGATTTTCTATTTCTGGAGAAAGATTCAGAAAAAATTGTGCAGAAGAGGACCAAACAAATCTTTAAAAATAGCTCTCCAGAAGGAACAATAGCAAAGTGTTTACTTCCTCTTCAAAAAAAAATCCCAAAACAAAAAAAATGCAAGTTGAAAGGTAATCTGTCACAACTGAACTATTAGAAGTATTAGTAAAGTAATTTGCGGGACATTTCAGTGTAAGATTTGCCTTTTACCCTCACTTTTGACAAAAATGGATCAATGGGGCAAACCCACTTTAGAGGTATCTGCAAAGGATGACCGATACGGAGGTTTGAGGGTGCAGCTGCCCACAAACCAGAGAGCAGAGTAAGCAGTTACTCCATTTCTTGACGAGCAGCCATACTGAGCTCCAAATAAATAAATATCAAGCCCAACTTCCTTCCTGTGATGTACAGCCTTCTAAATCTAAGACCTTATACTAGTATAGTAGCTGAAAACTAAGAGGTTTATGTAAATACTTAATCGTTTTCCTGTAATATCTACCGGATGTTTTATTGTCACTAAGCATACGGCACACCAAAGTTTTAAGAAACCCCCAGAGATGAATCATACTTAAGTTTATGTATACTTATATTCCCAATTTCTTCCCAAATAGTCCACGAGGGCACAAGCCATAACAGGCTTTTTTCAGCTAGGATGAGTTTTCTTCTCTTTAAGCTCTCTGCTATAGCCTGTTGAAGGACACGTGAAAGGCACGAGGAAAGCCTAGAGAATTAAATTGAGGCACAAACCAATAGCCTTCTCCCAGTGCTGCCAACTATTTGACACGTGCCTGTAGCATGTGCCTGTGGTGCTCAGAGGAATGCAGAGCTCCCTGGTAACTAAGTTTTCTGAAGAAGAATCATGCTTTTTCTGTGCCTCTTCTGAGCATCTGCCATGCACAGTCACATGAGTAATTCAACAGTACTTACAGCTGGACATATTTCCAAATTCAGGAATATCATATATACCTACAGCCATAAAACACTGTCATCTGTAACTTTACAGACACAGCACACAGTGACTACCAAGAGCTTTCCAGTGCTGCTCAAGACTAACTTTCTGCTTGAAAATTCACTTCTGTGTAGCAGAGTAGCTACTGACCATGTTAAAGGCTTCTTGCTCAACATAAAACCTGAACTTTAAATGCTAAGGATTAGAGATATTCACAAGCAAGTGCAAAATATTTGCTGGTGGCTCTGCAGCACCACTTGAAATTAAACAGATGTTTATTTTGACTTTGCTTGGCTAGTTGTTAAAAAAAGAATTTAATTAAAGCACAGAGATTATTACAGAAGAAAAATACAGCAAATATTTATCAGCTGTATAAAAAAATAGTACACGTGAGCTTTAAAACTTAATATCCTTTATGTATTTTTTCTATACATAAGCCCTAGAAAGGCAATAGCAACCAAAAAAGGTGTTCCAATAAACTGTCATAAGAGGGTCCTATCCTGCTACAAGGTGAAAGTATCAGAGAACTTGATACTATCACTCTGCTTTCGCTGGAAAGTATGACTATTTGATAGAAGCATTACTGAGTCTGAGTGCCACAGGCACAAAGCAGAAAGAAAATAAATAAGATTAATTTACAGTAAACCTGTTCAGAAAGTTTGCTGATACTGTTAATTACCTACATATGTTAAGTACATGAGTGCATATGCTTGACCTGCAACAGGCATCTGTTCACAGAACATCTGCATTTTCTCTGATCTGCTTGAGTTACGAAACACCAGTCTCAAACGTTACTGGCAGTGAGGAAGGAAAGAAAAAGAACTGATCGCTGGCATAAAGCCAGGAGAACCAAGTCTCTCTGGACAACATAGGCGCTTCAGAATACTGCCATGCTTTGTGCCCTCTGGTGTGACAGGGCCTGGGGATCTCATGGCTCTTGCATAAGTTAGAATAACCCTTCAAATAATCAAAATACAGCCAAGCTTGACAGTTGTTCACTACAGAATCAGAACTGACTTCCTTCCAGGCTCCTTCCCCTCCCTTACATGCTCTTGCTCCAAGCACAGACTTGCCAGAGGAAGGAAAGAAAGTGCATATTCAAAAAACAAAACAAAAACTAAAAACAAACAAAGACACACACACACACACACACACGACACCTCAATGATTCTTAAGATGTATGAAGTGATTTTGTAATCCTCATTCTGTGTATTTGAGGGCATCTGACCATGGACAGTGTTAAATCCATTATTAGCGCATTATAATATCTGCCATTTTTTTCCCCCCAAGTTAGGAAAGTATTCATTTCTCTAGAGATACACATAAGAGTCACATGTGAAATTTTAAATTCAATGTTAAACAGATAAGGCATCAAAAAAAATTGTAAGTGATGAAAAGGAAGTGTTTTTCCATCAGAAGACAATATGGAAAAGCGTTTGGTATTATTTTTTCTAGATTTTTATTTTCTTAAATCACTCCTGGATTTAAACAGAAAAGGGGATAAATTTTAAAAAAGGCAACCTCAACTTTAAAGGAAAAAAGTCTCTGAAAGGGGAGACTTGGAATAAAAGAATTATCTGAACTATCTGCAGTAATGCAGTAACCATCCTTCATACCATCCTACATGCTTTACGCAAGACATCACAATGTACAGTTTGTATTTATTCATTTAAGTCATAAAAAGAAGGCTAAAATACTGTTATCTACTTAAAACACCTTTAAATATTTTGGTCACTGGGAGGATGGGCTGAGGACTGGCTACAGCAATTTCTAATTTGTTAAACTGAAGCCCTGCATTGTGCCCCCACAGATAGCTTGGAATTACTGATTTGGCAGATTTTCCTCACACATGGGTTAGACTGATAAGTACAACATACTGTCATTCAGGATGCATTTGGAAGCAACCTCTGGATTGCTGTTCCTCAGATTGGTAGAATACAGTGAAATGAGTTTTGTGCTTTCTTAAGAGTACAGTTTAACTTGCATAACTCCAGCAGAGATTTACAAGATTTTCTACCATTTAGCTACTATTACAGTTCTCTGTATATTTGACAATACAAATTTTCCAATTCTTCTGCTGATCGTTTCTCATATTCCCCCCTATATAGCACTATTTTAGCAAAATTTTATATCATGGATTGCAGGAAAAAAAAATCACTACAGACCATACTCAGAAAGAAAAGACTGCTGACCTTTAAGGAAAAATTGCATTAGAACAGATATTATTAAAAAAAAAAATAAGAATAATTCCACAACACACACCCAACCAACCAAAAACAAAACACCCCCCATACCACACCACCACCACCGCTCTCCTCTACCTCAAAACAGCCTGCTCGCCTAACCACTGGTGTCAGAGAAGCAGTTCTGCTGGCTAAGAATTAATTAATCCCTCCAAAACTACAAAAGCACCAGTGTTCTCGCAGATAGTTTTGTCTCAGGGTTAGATGTGGTGCACTTTCTTCCTCTCTCCCAAGACCACACTGTTGTACTGATACATTATTTGAGAGTAAATTGATATTCTTGATAAATATGCAAGATAACTGAAAAATACTGAACATACAATGACTACTTGAACATCCCATCTTTGAGATAGCTGCATCACATGCAAAAAAGACCAGTAAAAGATACCATTTTTTCCCCCCCCGTTAAAACCAACCTTTTCTGTAAAAGACTGCATTGAGGAACTCTTCCGCTTGCCTCTCAAACCGAATGATTTTTGCTTGCTCTTGTCTAAGCAGAGCTTCTTGTCCAGCTTCCGAGGCTGGCTCATCCAGACTGACTAAGTGTTCCTGCAAAGATATTTAATATCTGTAAGTTCTTTCTGCCTGCAAAATTAGAGAGTTTTAAGCATTAAATATTTTATTAAATTCAAAACTTTGTTATACACTCAGCACAGAGTTAGATCTATTTAAATCATAACTTGAATTTTTGGCCTCTCCAGTACATTGTACTTTGCCCTGTTTTGTTGTCATAAATGTAATAGAAGACTAAAAGATTTGATAGCAGTATGGGAAATAAAAGCCTACCATAAAGGAAGTGATTCAGATATTTTACCTTGCATTTTGGCCACAAACCTGATTTCTAACGCTTGCTTTTCAGCTAGCACTTTTATTTCTGTAAGAACTAGTTCCCGAGGATAGAACACAGAAAATTCCACTTATTCTACACAACATTCATGCACACTGAGCAACAAACAGGTCCTCTGTCAAAAGACTTAGCAGCAGCTACTTTTAAGTGAAATAAACTTAGGTACACTGCCTGCAACACCTGTGATGAGTTCAAGTTCATTATATCTCTTACAGCTCAACTGAATCAACTGAGTTATCTCAAAAATATTTCAAAACAAGTGTTTTAACTAGGATAATTAAACTGTGCAAAATGCCAGAGAAAAGAATAACAGCTATAGAATAAGCTATACATCTTAAATATAAAACAAGAACTGGAAGACTATGGTTACAAAAATACAAAATCCAAGTGCTTGAAAACACTTTTCTCCTTTCCTCTTTTCTTTTTTTCCCCCCCACTTCATTGTCTTGTTCCTGCTCAGTAGGATAATAATCCCTTTCCTGGCCTCTTCCCTCCCACTTTCATTTTAAGCAATATTAAAAATGCATACAAAACCACTCTTTGAGTTTAGGGAGTGTTTTGTTTTGTTAGCCTTTACATAGTATCAGTTACCATAACATCGAGGCTATCTTTGGCTTTTTTTGGCCTCCAGAGTACAAGCCAATTTCAGGTAAGTATTGCCATGAGGCAACAAGGGAAGGAAACAGAATTTGCAATTCATTTATAATTTGCAATAAATGCAAACCAATAAGTCATTCTTAAGTTCGTATCATCTCAACCTCAAGAGGTTTCATGAAACGAGGTTACATAACCAGCACGCAGCAAGTTAACGAACACAGCAGTCACATGAATTACGTGCAAAGGGTGATACATTGAAATGCTGTGGACTCTGGCCTGCACAATATGGGCTCTGACCAGAGGACTTGAAGTTTAACAGCTTCCAAAAGTTTTCTCCATCAAAAGCAAGGAGGGGATACTATCTCAGGCAGGATATAAAGACAAAGTAGTAGTTTATCCTAAAAGTCAAAGGGTGAGAACCATGCAGTCATAGAGGTAACAGGTGATGAAAACAAGATGTTGTTCTATGAAGGTAAGATTTTCAGGAAGCAAAGTTGTAAAAGTCACAAAATTACTTCAGCTTTTTCATATCAGATAGATTCCAAGCTTGCTCTCAAACCCGTGGGCTCTCACAGCGGAGAGAGACCAGCGCTTCCGAGATAATTCTTTTAAAGAATATGAATTCAAACTCTTTGGGTTAACTACAATCAAAGAGTTTACTTCTGTACCAGGTACTCCTGTACCAGCAGTGCTCCTGGGTTACACCAGCCCTCTAGAAACACATCACAAAATTATGTCTGAATTTTTAAGACTTCAATATGCAAGTGTCTATATAGGACTTCACAGTGAAAACATACGTGGAAAGTAAGCCTAACATTTTTGAAAGAGCTCTTCTTCAGGTGAGACTTCACAGAACATACTTTCATTCTCTTTTGGAAACTGTGCTTTTGTACCTGACAAAATTTAACGCAGGATCCATCCTGGTTATTAACTGCCATCCTGAACTAAGATCATCATAGCTCAGTGATCTTTCAAACATTATCAGGATAACCACAAACCCAGCTTATCAGTTTGCCTAAAAAGGAGACATTTGTGCAAATCAACTAATAACGTAACTAATCTAGGCACAACAAAAACATTGAGACATTGGAACATCTAAGCACTTAAAGACAAAATGCTTAAGTTTCACTTTAAGAGGAACCTCTGCAATATTAAGCACAGAGATTTGGCTAGATAAGATCTATTAAATTTAATTAGCATCCTCTGGCTAACGTCCCACAAGCCAGGGCAAAAAGCTTACTTTCAATCCAAAGGACAAACAGAATTCGGAATTAAAGGGAATACTCCTTTAATCGGATCTGACATTTTGCCCTTTGACAGACTGTAACAAGGAAAGAAGCCTAAAATAGAAGTAACCTCTGTCCCCAAGGTAATGCATTTAAAGTTTTCCTAGTACTTTTTGCAACTAAGACATTACACAGCAAGAATCATAGCTTAGCCACTGTGCAAGCTGAGTTCAGTGGCAGCAGGCCTCACCACAAATAAGCATACTCCACATTATTCATGTAAAGTTAACGTATGAAGAGTACAATTTTAATCTACCTAGGCTAACACCAATTTAGTAAAGCTCTGTATTTTCTACATAGAGGAAAAAAATGATGAAAGTGGGATCAGGAAGACAAAACTAAGTGGCTTACACTGGTGACTATCTGAGTAAAGGACTATTTGATCTGCATTCAGGAGGCAAAGCGAAGAGCGAGGGAACAGCCTTACTCAGTTCTTACCCCTCAAACTAAGGAACAAACGTATCTTTACCGGCATGAATCTTTATCAGTCTCCATTTTCAAAGCGTGAAGAAATGCACAGTTATATTAAAAAAAAAAAAAAGTCAGCTTTAATCTTGTGCATAGGGAAAAAAAAGTCTTCAGCTGTTTTTTTGCCATCTTCAGTACAACACTGACTAGATGAAACAAATATACAGGAAAAAATTCTGCTTTAACTCTATTATTGTATTTCTTTCTTTTCTTATTGTGTCAGAATTATTCCAGCAATCTCTGCAGCTGGTTCACTGCTAGAGGGAAAGTTAACAAGTTTTCAAAGTATGCATTTGATTGTGATTATTATTCAAAGTCTACCTTGAAAAGTTTTTCTTGCTTGTTATCATTTCTTCCCAGCAACCATTTTTGGATCCACTACTTCCAGTCTTATCCTCTCATTCTACAGTACTGAATCATATCAAACTTTTCAATCTCAACATGCAGGTAGCAGGAACTGGAAATCATTACTAATACTTAGGTAGCGTTGTCACTGGTTAGAAATATCCTGAAAGAGTCAGTTATTTTTACATACTATTTATAACACATCATTCATTTGGTTCACTTTGTACTTCTCTTCACATGGGAAGAGACTCTCAAAGCATCAAATTCCCTCACTGAACATTCAGCATCCCTGGACTGAATAACAAAGCCTCAGGAAAAGCTTCTTGGAGTGGTCTGCGCAGGATCCAAAAGGATGGAAGAACTTTTTGCGTATTAGGATATACAGTACAACAATGTAATTAAGTCAGAGAGTTACAGGGCCCAAGTCTTCAAAATACAAGGTCAACACATGACTTTGGGAATCCACCTAATCCTGGACAACCTGGCCTCATTAGCTGTAGGGCTGGATCCTCCTTTTGAGACCCTCCTTATAGGCAACATTGATACAGCAGTTCTAAACCCTAAATTGCAGGCGTGCAGAGAAAGGTACGATGCAGGACGCTTTCGTATAGATATGGCAACAGCAGCTTCAGGTTTAGGCCACATGCAGATGGTGCAGGAAGGGCCCATAAGCTGGAGCAGCACAAGCTAATTCCTACCTGCTTGGAGAAATAGAGAGAGGCAGCACCTCCAGCTGACAGGCCAGCACAGACCCAAGTGATACAGGCCAGCCTCTGCATCCCACCATGAGGCAAGATCAGGAGTAGTGAGTAGGAAAGGACTGTTTTGGCACCCCTAGGTTGTCTTCTCCAACACTTACACTTCTTAAGGTTGTACACTCTTTTTAGCTTTTAACTAATGGAAAGGAGAATAATCTACTATTATTTTCTGCAGACAAGCTGTGCAGACACCAGAGATATGTTGCTCGTCTTCTTCCCTTCTCTTCTTCCTACCTGCAAGATTAGATCAACCCAGTTCCTTCAGCGTATCTTAAAGAAATCCAGAACACAACCTAATCATTCATGTCATTTCAACGCTATCCAGTTTGTCCACATCTTTTCTAAAAGATGCGCCCAGCTGAGGCTTTACCAGCATTCAGGGAGAAGAGTAATTTCCTCTCCATGTATCAAACAAATGCCTCTGTTGTTGAAACATCCCCAAAAGAGCTTACTACTTTTGTGACGCTACCACCTTTCAGGCATCTTTAGCTCGTGACATGATAAAACATTTTTCAGTCTCTTCTATACAGTTTCTTTAATGTATCAAGATCACTTTCAATTCCGAGCATTCCCTTTGAACAATTTGCAACCTTTCCCAACTGAATATACACGCTTTCATATTTAAGAAATTATATTACTTCCTTAATAACCAAGGTAACTGATGTCAGGTTTATCAAATTCAAAACAATTTTAACTGATCCACAATTACTGAATGTAATTTATTACCTATACAAGGAAAAAAAAAATCAAAATAAGTGGAAATACAATATGCTTACATTCACATCTATGCGCAAGCAAAACTGCTACCCAGCATTACTACTGAACATATTGGAGATTATTACAAAGTGCCTCTTCAGGTTCTAACCTCCATATCAAATTATTTTAAAATCATTCCATGCAAAATTGACAGTTGAAATGCCTGAACCTTTTTTTTTTCCTCCTAAGTGATGAAAACCATTAGAAATATTTCAAAGCATCTTCCAGCGCACTTAAGATCACTGCACACAGTTTAAACACATTTTAAATCTATCAAAATCATAAGAGTTCTGCAACTTTCACCTTATTTTCAGATATTTCCTTTGCCATCTTAAATTATTCTAGGAGTTAACACTTTAAATGACAGCAGCAGCTTCTCATCAGAATTGTTCAGACACTTACCACAGTTCATTTCTCATTGTTTATGTTCCTTCACAGTGAAAGGACACCAGATTGAGAGGGTGCTATTATGACTTATCGTAATGAAGTAATGGCATAATATTATATTTAAGCTGCTTGTTTAAAGCAATTACAAGCTTTTAAATCATCTTAAACATTTTCAAATTCAAAGTTACTCTGATATGACTCCTTCAAAGTTCACATGTTGTATCCTACTTCCATAATTGTTTACAATTTAAACAAGAAAAAAAAATTGTTAGAAATCCTGACACTGGATCCAAGGCATTTTATAGTACTTCAAAGACCAGATTCTACCTTCTGTCATGAGACTCCAAAAAAGTGCTCCTATAAGTCGTTTTCTCTCTTGTTATTTTTGTAGTTTAAATATATCTATAAAACAGTTAATATGCTTAAGAGTATTATCCTTCTTGTTCTGCTCTAATGAGATTAGTTCCCGTTTTTTTAATGCATATGAATTGCTTTATGTAGTTTTAAACAAGTCTTTCGGCCCCCCCCCCCACCCCCCCC